GGCCTTATCTGGAGGATCCAGGGGACAGACCAGATATCATGCATCCTAAGAGTTCTCTGTCCTCTTGCAAACATTTCCAAGGGGGCAAATGCCACCATGTTTCCTGTGGCATCTTGCAGCATAGGCAATCAAGAAACTTTCCTTAAAGTCCATTTTCTGATCATGTAGTATAACAGTTTGTTTTTCTTTTCATCATGACTTTGTGTCTGCTACATAAGAGGAAGGAAATATTTTCTGAACATTCTTCCCATTTCTGCCTTCACCTCCTTGTTCTTCAGGCTGTAGATGAGGGGGTTCAGCATGGGTGCGATCACACTGTACTGCAAGGAGAAGATCATTTCCAAAGGGGAACCTGAAGTTGGCAAGAGATAGCTGATGAAACCCGAGCTATAGAACAAAATCACAGTAGTGAGATGAGAAAAGCAGGTGGAAAAGGCCTTGCTTCTGCCTGAGGCAGAGCTAATGCTCAGGATGGTGCAGACAATCTGGGCATAGGAGGCAACAATCATCATGAAGGTTCCAAAGAAATGCAAGACAGAGGAGCAGATCAGGAGCGTGAAGTTGGCAGAGGTATCAGAGCAAGACAGAGGGAATAGAGAAGATACCTCACAGCTGAAGTGGAGAATAGTTTGGCCCTCACAAAAGTCTAAATTGACAGCCAGGAGGATATTGATGAGAGCATCAACAAAGCCCAGGCCCCAGGAGCCCCACACCAGCCCAACACAGAGCTGGTTACTCATCAGCTGGCCATAGAGCAGAGGGGAGCTGATGGCAACATAGCGGTCATAGGCCATCACAGCCAGCAGACAGGCCTCAGTGCCACCAGTGGCAAACACAAAGAAGGCCTGAACGAAGCAACTCTCTACAAAGATGGTTTTGCTTTCAGAAAGTAGATTCTCCAGCATCTTGGGAGCTGTGACAGATGAGTGGCAGAGGTCCAGGAAGGACAGTTGTCTCAAGAAGAAGTACATGGGTGTTCGGAGGTGAGAATTAGCCCTTATCACCAGCAGCATCAAAAAATTCCCCATCAGCGTGAGGAGGTAAATCAGAAGGAACAGCACAAAAAGTATAGCCTGAATGTAAGGGTCAGTAGACAGTCCAAGGAGAACAAACTCACTGATAGCACTGTCGTTTTCCATGACCATCTATGGAAGTGTTCTTCCTGGAAAATAAGAAACAAGTTCCACCAAAAGTCCTTAATGCCCCTGAGTTATTCCAGCACCTAGATCTTCTTCTCTAAAATGTCTTTTCAGTACTGCCCAAAAACCCATGTTCAGATATTTAAAAACCAACTTCCTGGTCACCATTATACCATTGAAATCCTAAATCAACTATTACTATCTTTTATTATAATCTTTTTTTAGTTAGAGTATTTTTATGCTGAAGAGAGTGAGTCATTTGAAGAGAGTTTCTGATGGGAAAAAGAGTGAGAGGGAAATTTCAGGAGTGAATTACTTGAAAAGTAGAGGGAGGATTAAATCTAAATCAAAAGAATCTAGGTAGGAGCAGGGACATTATTTATTCTGCACTGGAGGGAAAGTCAAGAGTGTTGGACCAGGTGCAAGAAATTAAGGGAATTCCTGTTTAATTGCTTCCGTTTTTTTTTTTTTTTTGTCAATAAGTGTAAATGAGACCATTGGTTGTGCATGTGTGTGTGTGTAAACATGCCCACATGCCCACAAGAAAGCATAAAGAAGACATTGATAATGATAAAGTTAAGTGTACAATCATGGGAATAGGGGCCAAGGGGAAGCATAAGAAACTAGTAGATGATAGGAAAATAATAAGACAACAAGAAATTTAGAGATAGTGAGAAATTAGATTGTTTTGAATTCTTGTCACTTTAAATTTCCTCCATTTTATTTCATGCCATCATAGTATCGTTTAATTTTAAAATATATCCATATAATAATAATGAATTTTTTAAAAAAACAGCACCCTAGATCATAATGCCTAGTGATATTTTAGATGGGCCAGTGATATTTTAGGTGGGCTTTTGTGGGTAATTCCCTGTTTACCTCATCGTTGTGAGAAGCTGTTCCCTGTTAGAGGACAATACTCTGGTTAGAAACCATGCCCAACCTAAATCCCACATATCCAATAATATATGCAATCACCACTGTTCCTAAGTCATTTCGCCAGGTTTCAAGGCTTCACATGGTTCCCTGAACTACCTTCTCACACTTTATAACTTGCACGTATTTTCCCATACTGGCATGATATTCTAGATTTCACCTGAGTCTCAAGATAACTGCTCAACACTCTTGCCTCCTTGCTGTTCTAATTCAATACTAATGCATTTAGTTCATGCAGGAAGGTTGAGGAACCTCTGCTATTGTTGGTTGACTGAAGAGCTGAGCCTCCCAGTACTGGTGAGGAAAAAAACTCAATTACCTGAATTCTCAGCTCGTAGTACACTGGGTTGTGGCAACACCACTTTCAGATCCACTAAGCAATAAAATTCCTGAGCTTGTAAGATCAATGTTGAGAACACTGCTTTAGGGGAAAAGTAGAAAATCATGTTGAAAATTAACATTATGATGGATGTCAATGTAAAATGATAAATAATAAAATGATAAATTGTAGATAATATCTGGGCACTTATTTCATTATTTGGGGACAGAATAAGGGAGATCATTGCTTGAATTCTTTCTCTTCCACTCATTAGATTTAGCAACATTGTGCACAGTAGCTCCCGGTGCTTATCCTGGGATCACCCCATCACTCCCAAAGCAAAGCAACATGGAAGGGAGCCCCGGGTTTACAATAGCCATGAGTGAGGCATGTGTTGTGTGATTTCAGAGCCAGCACATTGAAAAAAAAAACCCTTCCTTTGGCTCCTGCAAATATAGCCCAACTGCCTAGCTCTAGAGATTTCATAAACTGTAGAAAGAATCCCTACATTGGATCAAAGCAAAACCTTGCATAGAAAATACTGGTGTAACAAAATTCAATGCTAGTCACTTGATTTCACAGAAGGTTTCTTCCTTAAGGTTATTTGGATGTTCTTAGGAAAATCTTAAAAAAAAAAAAATAGAACTTCCATTTTTCCTGCGGGGGACGCCTGAAATATCACCATTATTAGTATATACAATCTATATTTCAAAATTTTAAATGAGCAGTTCTGGAGATATAACATGAAGAGTTTGTTTTTAGATATTAACACCATTATGTAGGAGAAATTAATTGGCACCTGCCCAAAGGAAAACCTCCCTGAGAAGTGTTCATTTCAGAAACAAACCAAGGCCACCATGCATAATAACTAGCCCACAGGAATTGCTCAGAATGTGACAGTGGAAAACATGAGTGTCTGCAATGTAAACTTGATAGCAAAATGCTACACTTTGTCAAAACACACTCCCTCTACCCTCATCAACACACTGTCCAAATATACAAATTATGTATACAGATAATTTAAAACAACTGTTTCTATGCTTTCCTTTTTGTTAAGTAAAAGATGGGAGTATCAGGCCGGGCGTGGTGGCTCACGCCTGTAATCCTAGCACTCTGGGAGGCCGAGGCGGGCGGATCGCTCAAGGTCAGGAGTTTGAAACCAGCCTGAACAAGAGCGAGACCCCGTCTCTACTAAAAATAGAAAGAAATTAATTGGCCCACTAAAAATATATGGAAAAATTTAGCCGGGCATGGTGGCACATGCTTGTAGTCCCAGCTACTCGGGAGGCTGAGGCAGAAGGATTGCTTGAGCCCAGGAGTTTGAGGTTGCTGTGAGCTAGGCTGATGCCATGGCACTCACTCTAGCCTGGGCAACACAGTGAGACTCTGTCTCAAAAAAAGAAAAAAAAAAAAGATGTGAGTTTCTACCTCTGTGAGACACAAGAATGTATAGGACCTGTAAAATCATGCTAGGTAAAGTGACCAAACAAGAAAAACAATCGAGGAATCACACTTCAAATGCCTACAATTGAAGCAACTGAGGTCTAAGATTGTGTTAACCTGATGCAAAATCAGATGGTTGGGGGAAAATTCCCAGCAGGTGTTTTCTGTGCAGCATGTTAACCAAGTAGCTGAACCAATTGCTTTAATGTTGGGATGCGATGAGTGTCCAGCCTATGGTCCCTGTGATGTTGGCCAACAGGGCTGTGCGTGGTGATCTTTAGTTAATGGCTTTAGAGCCATATTTTCACAGTCAAAACAGTCTAATAGAGGCAACTAAGGTCAAGAACAGAAATGTTTTCTAGTTGTGCATGAATGCTGGCAACTTAGTAAGTTTTGACAATTGTTTAAATATGTAATGTTAAGCTTAGATTTAAAAAGTAAAGCTGGTAAACTGGAAAAAAAAAGAACAGAAATGAAAACCATGTCTCAAATTACTGAACTGTTTGGGTCTATTGATGATTTTTAAATTGGTAAATATCTTAAATCATTTAATTTTAAAGTATACATTTACAGAATCAAAGAAAATGTTGCACTAAAAACTTGTATCAATAAACATATTATTGTGCCATTGGTCCACAAACATAAATCAGAGTGGAGTTTTACATTGTTGTGATGTGTGTGTGAAATATCCTATTGATTGAGTTTCTTTTGTTTATTGTGCTATGTTGACGTTGGATATCATGGTATGCATACTCCCAGCAAGGGATATGTTTATGCTAACAATAATTTCAATTTCTGTTGTTAAGGAATTAGAAGTTTATCAATGCAAATGTACTGTATGTGGTATAGACAGTTTTGACTTCACTTCCTGGCTGTATAAACACATATGAAGAGAGGGTGATAAGATTTCCACTTATGAAAATAAGACCCACCAAATATACTTCTTGTTGCCATGTTTGCATTTCCTAAAGATACTTTTATATTGATATTTAAGGAGATGCTGACAACTCATAAAATTGCATTAAATAAAATAAATCTATGACTTATCAGATATAGACTTTGTGATTTCTTTTTATAATCACCAAAAAAAGGCAACTCTCTAGAGTTCAGGGTACAGAGATTTTAATCTGTAAAGATTAGAAATACTCATTTGATGTCCTTACCGGCTCAGGTGGTAATCTCAGCTCCCCCAACATCTCCAGACCCTGAGGAAATGCAGGCTCTATGCCAAAGGGCACGGAGAAGCAGCAGAGGTGTAACAGAGCTCCTTGAAGTCACATGTGTGGAGTCCTATCCCAGGTCTGCCATTTTCCAGCTGTGCAAGCTTTGAAAAGATATTTCAATTTTTTTTTCAAATTAAAAAATACAGAATTTATTGCAAAAAGGCCCATACTACAAAAAAATGCTAAATGAAAATACTCAAGGTAAAGGAAAATGACTGCAGAGGGTAAATCTATTTGCATATAACGAATGCATATCTTCTTGTTTACTTTAAATTATCTCTAGATTACTTTTATACCTAATACAATGTCAATGCCATGCACAGTTGTTATACTGTCTTGTTCTTTTATTTGTATGATTTTTAATCATTGAATTTTTTTTTAATTTTGGCATATTATGGGAGTACAAGTGTTAAGGTTACTTATATTGCCCATGCACCCTCCCCCCTCAAATAAGAGCTCAAGCATGTCCATCCCCCAAACATTGCACAGCTTATTCGTTGTGTATTTCAACTTTTAATTTCAAGCCTCTCATCTTCATTGTGGGGATAACAATACCTACTTTGCAGTGTTGTGAGAATATAATTTGATCCAGTTTACATAAAAATAAGAGCTTTAACAAACTCAGCTTTCAATTTGTCTTAAATGCTCAGTATCTCAATAGAAGAGGAGGAGAAACATGTCCAGGCCAACCAGAACATCTTAGGGAACAGATCTAAACTATTCATCCTGGAGGAGGTAGAATTGCAGGAAAGCCCCAAGACAGTAAAAAACAAGTGTGATGAAAGGATCAGAAATAAAATGTCTTAGAAAGGCATGAAGAGAGGGAAGGGAGAAGAAAGTAAAAGGAGCTGGAAAAAAATAGATAACATGAGAGGATTTAGGGAGGACATTATTTTACTCTTGGCTTGTATCTGGAGCTGAGAGTCAACAAATGAACACATTTTAGCTCAGGTGAGTCCCATCAAGAGAGGATGTACCACAATCGCTTAACTATAGGATAGGTATAATTCTCTAGTAGGAAGGTGGATGAGAAAAAAGAAATACGATTACCCAGGCTCCAAAAGCCCCTGTAGACAAATCTTCAGAACACTTTTCTAATTTCTGCTTGAGAATCATCTTGAAACACCGAAATTTTGGTGCAGTTCCTTCATCTTTCCTGATCACACAATGCTTTTTCCATTTGATATCCTGTATGACAAATATTTGCTGCTAGCATATCCAAAGACAGGATACTCCAGTGTAACCAATCAGAGGAAGGCGACTGGGTTTAGAGAGCCAATGGGTTGGCAGGTTGAGTCAGGGAGCTGACTCAATGCCAGGCAGTCCCTGGAGTCACACAGGAAGCTTGCCTTTGGACTCATTAACTAAACAAAACTTTTTTTAGAGCAACAGGGGACTTTATTATGCATCATCTTTGACAATTTTGGGTTAAAGCAATCACCTTGAACTATTGAATGAGAAATCCTGCTAAGTTGATGAGAGTTCCACTGGAACCAAGAGGGAGAAGAAATTTGGGCCCTGTGTAGAAAGCCAAGATTTTCCCACCGGCCATATACAAGGGGGATGAATTCTCTGGGATTTACTGTGGAAGCTGAGAAGTGATGGAGTTTACCTCCCGATCATCTTCCCATGTGTATATGAAATAGGTTTGTAAATACAACTGGGTTGAGCATAGCATAGTCAAATGAGTTAAAACAATACAAACTTGCTTTTTATTAGTATTTCACTATGCAAGACATTATAAAACAACTTCCAGCCACATCATTAGACACCACACCCCCTTACTTAGAAATAATGATTTAGCAGATAATCCTCAGAGGTACTTTCTATCCATATATGGGACTCATATCTATGTTCTAGTTTGTTTCTATCATTTAAATGTATACTTGGTAGATTTTTTTCCATGCCTGCATGTAATATCTAGCTCGTTCATTTTTATGCCTACATGGTATTTATAATGTAGATTTATCATATTTATTTAACCATTCTTCTACTGATTAACTCAAACTGATTACAAATCCAGTACCTATATCTTGGAGATGTATGACTAGCATCAACAGCTAAAAGTATGTGTATTTAAAATTTGATTTGAGGCCGGGCACAGTGGCTCATGACTATAATCTTAGCACTCTGGGAGGCTAAGGTGGGAGGATCACTTGAGTTCAGGAGTTCAAGACCAGTCTGAGCAAGAGCAAGACCACATCTCTACAAAAAATAGAGAAAATTAGCCAGGGAACTAAAAATAGAAACAAAAAATTATCTGGGCATGGTGGCAAGCGCCTGTAGTCCCAGCTACTTGGGAGGCTGAGGCAGGAGGATTGCTTGAGCCCAAGAGTTTGAGGTTGCTGTGAGCTAGGCTGACACCATGGCACTGTAGCCCAGGCAACAGAAGGAGACTCTGTCTCAATAAATAAATAAATAAAATTTGATTTGACAGTTTACATACTCCACCTCTCAGATGTGTCGATTTACTAAACATGTATTTCATTCATCTCAATGTGAGATTTTTATATGGACTCCACAAGTCTTCAAATCAACATTAATTTTATGGAGCATAAAATGTAAAGGGAAAGATGACACAAACAAGCTCAAAACCCTGCCTCTAAGTCATTCATCCTCTCAAAGGAGACTGCCTCAGCTCTGAAGGAGAAGAGAAGAGCTGTGTGTTTCTGCAGTTGGCAGCACAAAATTACTAAGAGAAGATATGTGATCTATAGCCAGTATATTTAAATCAGCACAAATGTGTCGGAATAATTTTTGTATTCTTGTTGTAGTAATTAAACCTCACAACTAGTGCTAACACAGGGCAACACCAATAGCAACAGGGCTTTCCAATAAAAATAGAACAAGAATTTCTTACTGCGATACTTTTCCAATACAAATACATAGCAATAACAAAGTACAAAAAGAATTTCTGATCATGTGGTTTTCCATTTTATGAATATTCTACAATTTACTTATTATTCTATTGACTGGTATTTGGATTATTCCCGTTTGGGCTAGTATAGATAAAACTGTTGTGAATATTCTTGTATATGTCTTTATGTAGACATATGTGCTTATTTTCTTTGTACATATATTGAAATGGAATTGCTGAGTCATAGGATAAGTCTATGTCTAGTTGTTGTAGAAACTGGCAAACTGTTTTCCAAAGTGATTGCAACACTTTGCATGCTCAGCACCAATGTATGAGGGTTTCAGTTGCTCCACATTCTTGTCAATATTTTGTATTATTAGTCTTTTTTTGGCCCTTTTCAAATTGTAGCAGATTAGATGCTTGTGAAGTAGACTTTCAATATAGCTTAATTGCATTTTTCTGATGATGTTGAGAACATTTCCATATGTTTTCTGGCCATTTGAATATCTTGTTTTGTGCAGGATATCAAATCTTTGCATTTGTATTGAGAATATGCATTTGAAGTCTATGAATTCTTTTTATGTTTCTTAATTGTGTCTTTTGATGAACAGAGATAGTTGTTTTGACGACATCTAATAAGTCATTTTTTCTTTTATAATTTGTTTTTGTGTCCTGTTCAAAAATTCTTTGCCCACTTCAAGATCATGAATATACTATCCTAGCTTTTCTTCTAGAACCTTTATTGTTTTACCAATCACAAATGGGGTTATGCCATCTCAAACTAAATTTCTATATGGCGTGAGGTATGGGTCAAGGTTCATTATTTCCTGATAATCTAATTGATTTAGTACTTTCTTTCCCCTTAAATTACATTAGTACATTTGTTATATTCATCAATGTAATACTGTTATGACCATATACATGAATCCATGTCTGTTCCACTGATCAATTTGTCTATTATAATACAATATAACACTGTCTTAATTATTGTCCTTTTAGGTTAAGTCTTAAAATCTGGCAAAGCACTCTACAGTTGTTCTTCAAGATTGTCTTAGCTACCATAGACCTCTAAATTTCAAATTAAATTTGAGGACATTTGTCAATTTCCACACAAAAAAAATCATGCTGCAATTTTGATTAACATTGTATTGAATATAGAAATCAATTTTTGAGATTTGTTATTTGTTCCTCCATGTGTCTCTGATGATATTATAAATGGTGTTGTTTTAAAAATATTTTGGCTAGGCTTAGTGGCTCATGCCTGTAATCTTAGCATTTTGGGAGGCCAAGGTGGGAGGATCACTTGAGCCTATAATTCTTATATTTGGCCTATTTATATAATCCCATATTTTTTGTAGGCTTAATTCCTTCCTCTTAATTCTCTGTTCTTTATCTTTAACTGACTTGTTTAATTCAAAAGTGTTGTCTTCAAGCTCTGAGATTCATTATTCTGCCTGGTCTAGTCTATTCTTAAGACTTTACACTGTGTTTTGCATTTCCTTAAATGAATTTTTCATTTCCAGAAGTTCTATTTGATTTTTTTAAAAATAGTTCAATTTCTTCAGTGAATTTTCATTCATTTCCTGAATTTTTTGTTGTGGTTTCATTGTGTTGGTTTTCCATTTTCTCTTATATTTCATTGAGCTTACTTATACTCCATATTTGGAATTCTTTATCTGTCACTTCAATATTCTGATTTTGATTGGTATCCATCACTAGAGATGGTGTACCCTTTTGGTGGTGACCCTTTGCTCTGATTCTTTGTACTTCTGGAGTTCTTTTGCTGATTCCTTTTCATCTGGAGCAGGTGTTGCTTCTTATTTTTTTATTTTCTTTTGTTTAGATGATGTCACACCCATTTTAATCTCCGAGGTAGTAGGTGGTACTTGTGGGTGAGAATCAACCACACCCTGTATGATTGAGAAAATATTGTAAAGGGTATGCAAATTGACCTCCCTATCAGTAGGTGGCGCTTGCCAGAGAAACAAGCTGGAATGTTGTTTTTGGGTCCTATGACTGGCTCTAGTCCCTCAAGTGAAACACTCAAATGCCCCACATGGTGGGTGGGGTCCTGGAACTTCAGGTGAGTCCTAATTCTCTGCCACAGTAGTGTGGGTAGGAGAGTGTGGCTGGGTAGAACTGGGCCAGGTGAGCTTGCCCTCAGTCTCCACAAAAGCTTGCAAAGTATCTATTTCAGCAGGGGTCAAAGGTCTACTTCCAGGTTCTGGTCAAAGTCACCTGGGAGGGGCCAGCAGACCAAAAAGTTGGCTTGTGGAGGTGAGGCCATCTGAGATTCAAAATCTGGCAGTCTAGGGTAGGCCTCACTCTTTTTTGCCCTCCCCTGCTCCAGGGTTTTGCTCCCTGGTGTCTGCCAGCAGGTAGGAACTCAAGCCAGCCAGCCTCCCCTATGACTGTGATGCAGGCTGGGAAGTTCCCTGCCCAGGATACCAGCCTGAGCTAAGAGCATTGCCCTCCTGTGGGGAGAGAGGTGCCCTGAGAGCATGCTGCAGCTAGCACCCACACTGCATTCTCCCCACAATCTGCCCATGTGCGCTCCCTCACCTCCTGAAACTAATTCACAAATCTCCGCTCCTTTCCCCCAGGCAACTCAATCAAGACCTGGAGACACAGGATCTGGCTTGCAGGTCTGTCCCTGGATCCTTGAAGATCAATCCCTGACCATGCCAGGGAGAAGTGTGTTGGTTCCAAGTTGCCCATGCACTGCCCACACAGGTTCAATGTCCCTCTGACTCAGGGCATGCCCCACTCTGATAGAGTCACCAGGCAAATAGCACCAGGGAGAGATTATGGGCAGGAAGCTCACAGTCTGAGCACCTGTCAGTCTGCTGCAGGACCCCAAGAGGAAAGGTCTGAGCCTCACTCTCTATGGAAGCCTTGCTGTAGTGGCTCAATTGTCTCTCTCAGCAGCCATGGGTGGGAAAGAGGGAGGAGAAAAATGGATCTGGATGGAGGAAAGCTAGCACTCTCATTGTGCCTGTTCCTCCCTCTGGGAGGCCACCTGCCCAGAATGTCCAGGCACTGGAGTCACGCAGGTCACCTGGAACCCACTGGACTCCTGTGAGTCCTGCAGTTGGGGCCAGAGTTGGAAAATGTCTGAGTGGAAAGGAGTGAGATGAAATCTGAGGAGTTGATGCCCCTGGGGAGGACAAAGGTGCACAGGGGTAGAGAAGCAATATGGTGCCATCTGGGCTCAGATCTTTGGAGCTGGGAGCCTAGTGTACTGTCCACAAGAAGCTCCCAGCTCACTGGTGGCAGCAGCCTCTGGGCTAATGTGGGCAGAAGGTCTCTCCAGCAGCTTAGGAACCCACTGTCCATTAGAGATGTGAGTGGGGTGAGAAACTAATGGCTCCACCTACCCTTCTCACTGGACTCCAAACCTCTCAGGGATTGATCTCTGCTGATACCTGTTCCTTCCTGTCTTCTGCAACTTCTTCCTGTGGAGTCTCTGGTAGGTTCTGGCACATTTTTCTTGGAATTATACCCAAACTAGGTTTGTTTGTTTGCTATTTGTTTTTCATCTAAGATAATCGGGCAGCTGGTCCACCATCTTGACTCAGAAGAAAGAATTTTTAAACTTGAATACAGGTCTTTCAAAATAACCTGGTTGAACAAAAAAAAAAGAAAAAAGAAAAAAGGAATATAAAAGAAAGAAGAAAGTCTAGGTGATATGTGGGAAACCAAAGTGTCCAAATATTCAAATTTTGAAAATTCCAGATGGAGAGGAGATGGGCAAAGGGACAGAAAACCTATTTAATGAAATGATAGCCAAAAACTTCCAAAGTTTTGCAAAAGATATAGACATTCCGATGCCAAAAAAAAAATCAAAGATGCCAAATACATTCAACCCAAAAACAACTTCTCCAAGTCAAACTGTCAAAAATAAAAAGAGAATTCTAAAAAAGCAAGAGAAAAGCATCAAGTCACATATAAGGGAATCTCCATCAGACTAACAGAAGATTTTTCTGCAGAAACCTTACAAACCAGGAAAGAATAGGATAATATATTCAAAGTGCTGAAACACCAAAACTGGCAGCCAAGAATACTGCATCCAGCAAAGCTATCCTTCAAATATGAAGAAGAAATAAAGTCTTTCCCAGACACGCAAAAACAGTTAATTCAGCACCACTAGACCAGCCCTATAAGAAATGTGTAAGGACATTCTATACCTGGAAGCAAAAGGACAATATCTACCATCATGAAAACACATGAACATGAAAGTATAAAAATCATTAGTAGAGTAAATACACAAATGAGAAACAGAAATGATGTGATTGTTATCACTACTGAAAACCACCAAACCTCAATGATAAACAAAAAAACTGAAAGAAAGGAACAAAGAATATACAAAACAACCAGAAAACAATTAACAAAATGACAGCAGGAGTTCTCACCTATCAATAATAACCTTAAATGTAAATGGTTTAAATTCCTCATTTAAAAGATATAGACTGGCTAAATGGATAAAAACACATGACCAGGCCAGGCGTGGTGGTTTACACCTGTAATGCTAGCAGTCTGGGAGGCTAAGGTGGGTGGATTGCTCAAGGTCAGTAGTTCGAAACCAGCCTTAGCAAGAGCAAGACCTCATCTCTACTAAAAATGGAAAGAAATTAATTGGCCAACTAAAAAACATATAGAAAAAATTATCAAGACATGGTGGTGCATGCCTGTAGTCCCAGCTAGTCAGGAGGCTGAGGAAAAAGGATTGCTTGAGCCCATGAGTTTGAGGTTGCTGTGAGCTAGGCTGATGCTATGGCACTCTAGCCTGGGCAACAGAGTAAGACTCTGTCTCAAAAAAACAAAACAAATACACATGATCAAACTATAGGCTGCCTACAAAAAAACTGACTTCACCTTGAAAGACACATATAAACAGGAAGTGAGAGGATGGGAAAGATATTCCATGCAAGTAGAAATCAAAAACATGTAGAAGTCACTAACTTATAGTAGATAAAACAGATTTTAAGGTCCTTTTGTAGTTTATAAGTGTGATGATTGGGTGTTCATGCTCATGTTGCCTCCCTCAAGCCTTATTATGACATTAGCACATTACCAGTCTGATGTAAGAAAGAAAACAACATCAACAACAACAATAGACTTTAGGTCAACATATGTAAAAAGAGACAAACAAAGTCATTATATAATGATAAAAAGATCACTTTGACAAGAGAATATAACAGTCATAAATATATAAGCACCCAACACTGAAGCACCCAGATATGTAAAGCAAAGAATGGAGAGATAGATTCAAATATAATAATAGTTGTGGACCTCAACACCCCAGTCTCAGCATTGAACAGATTATCTAGATAGAAAATCAATAACAATAAAAGGTTGGATATAAACTGTACTTTAAACCAAATGGAATTAACAGAAACTTACAAAATTTGTATCCCACACCTGCAGAAAACACCTTCCTTTCATCAGTACATGGAACATTTTCCATTATAGATCATATATTAGGCCACAAAACAAGTCTCAACAAATTTTTGAAAATTTAAATCATATCAAGTATCTTCTCAGACCACAATAGAATAAAACTGAATACCAATACCAAGAGGAATTTTGGAAACTTACAAATACATGGAAATTAAACAACATGCTCCTGAGCAACCACTGGATCAATGAGAAAATTAACAAAGAAATAAAACAATGTCTTGAAACAAATAAAAATTAAAACACAACATACCAAAACCTATGGGATACAGAAAAAGCAGCACTAAGAGGGATGTTTGTCTCAATAAATGCCTATATTTAAAAAGTATAAAGATGGCAAATTAACAACATAATGCTGCACCTCAAGAAACTAGAAAGGCAAGAACAAACCAAACCCAAAATTAGTACATGGAAAGGTTTAATAAAGATCGGAGTAGAACTAAATAAAATAAAAAATGAAAAATAATACTTATGATCAATGAATTGACAGTTGGTTTTTTGAAAAGATAAACAAAACCAATAAACTGCTAACTAGACTAAACAATAGAAAAAGAAAGAATATCCAAATAAACAAAATAAGAAATGAAAAGGAGACATAACTGATACCACAGAAATACAAAGGATCACTGGAGACCATAATGAACAACTATTCTATAACAAATTGGAAAATCTAGAAGAAATGGATACCTTCCTGGACACATACAAGCTACAAAGATTGAACCAGGATGAAATAGAAAACCCAAGAGACCAATAACAAGTAATGAGATTGAATCAGTAATAAAAAGTCTCTCAACAAAGAAAAGCCCTGGACCAGATGGCTTTACCCCTGAATTCTACTAAACTTGTGAAGAAAAACTAATATCAATTCTCCTCAAACTTATAAAAAACTAAAGAGGAGGGAATTCTTCCTAACTCATTCTATGAGGCCAGCATTACTTCATCACTGAAACTATCAACAAAGTAGGCATAGAAGAAATATAATTCAACATACTAAAGGCCATAGATGACAAACTCACAGCTAACATCATACTGAATGGAGAAAATCTGAAAGCCTTTCCTCTAAGAACTGGAACAAGACAAGGATGCCCACTTTCATCACCCCTATTCAACATAGTACAAGAAGTCCTAGACAAAGTGATAAGGCATGACAAAAAACAAAGGGCAACCAAATTAGAAAGAGGAAGTCAAATTGTCTCTCTTTGCCAATGACATTATCTTATATATTGAAAAACCTAAAGACTCCACCAAAAACTCTTAAAACTAATAAATGAATTCAGTAAAGTTAAAGGATACAAAAACAACATATAAAATGAGTAGCATTTCTATACCCAATAACAAATTAGCTTAAAAAGAAATCAAGAAAGCAATCCTATTTACAGTTGCTCTGAAAATAGATAAAATATGTAGGAATAAATTTAATCAAAGAAGTGAAAGACATTTACACATAAAACTATAAATCACTGATGAAAAAAAACTGAAGAGGACATAAACAAATGGGAAGACAGGCCACGCTTATGGATTAGAAAAATTAATATTGTTAAAATGACCATACTATCCAAAACAATCTTTAGATTCAATGCAATCCTTATTTAAAAATGCCAACAATATTCTTCTCAGAAATATAAAAAAAAAATTTTATATTTGTATGGAAACACAAAAGAGCCTGAATAGCCAAAGCAATACTGAGCAAAAAAGAACACAGCTGGAAGCATCATACTATATGACTTCAAAATATGCTACAAAGCTATTATAACCATAATGGCATTGTACTGTTATAAAAACAGACACACTGACCGATGGAACAGAATAGAAAACCCAGAAATAAAACCACATATTTACAGCCAATTGATCTCCAACAAAGTTACCAAGAACATACATTGGGGAAAAGACACCCTCTTCAATAAGTGTGGTACTGGGAAAACTGGATATCCATATGAAGGAAGATTCCTATCCATATGAAGATAAATGAATCTAGACTCATATCTCTCACCATATACAAAAATCAAGTCAAAATGGATTAAAGACTTAAATGTAAGGCCCAAAACTATAAAACTACTATAAAAAAATGGGTAAATGCTCCTGGGCATTGGATTAAGCAAAAAAATGGCCTGGAGAAAAGAGTAGACTTAATGATGATTCCGAGGCTTTTGACCTGAGCAACTGGGTGAATAGTGGCACCTTTTGACGTGATGGATGGAACAGATTTTAGGGGTGGGTGGAATTAAGAGTTCAATTTTGGATAGTGAAAGACTTGGGGTGGTTAGAGAGAGGTAGGAATTTGAGTTGGATTATAGATATTTCTACCCATAAAAGATAAAAATCTCTGTGATGAGGCATGAAGAAGGGAAGAGCTTAGATTCCTTATGAAAACTAAGATAAATAAAGAGGTAGATCATGATGGGAATAGTCCTGATGGTCTCTTTGAGGGTGGTTGACATCTGATTGGAGTTTCTTCTTGTGACTGAAATAGTAAGAAGGTAGGAACTGTGCTAGTCTCACTAGTAGTATCTGGAACTCTAAAATCAAAACCAGGGATGAGATAGTGTGCCTTCCCAGAGTTGCACACCTGCACCTAACTTATCTCTAATCTTCACTTTCTCCCTCTTTCTTGGCATTCCACTCTTTCTTTTTTTTCTTCAGGGAAACTCTTTTCACCTTCTAAGGTTTAAAATCCATGCTTATTTCTCAATATCTGGTGATCTTCCAAGTCAAAGACTTTTAGAATTCAAAATAAAACCATTTCTCTCTCAAGGACCTAGCTCTTGAAATTGAAAGCCAGTTATTTCAGACCTTACTTTGAAATTCAAAGTAAAAGATGAATTCTTCTGGGCTCACTCCTGCCATCTCTCATAATCAGTGGATGTCTAATGCAATGGGTAGAGGACAATGAGGAAGCAAAAGTTACCAGAAATTAAAATTTAAATTTTACAACATTATCCCTTTATTTTACCATTATTATTTGGACCAAATGGAGCCCAGAGTGAGGCTAGGAGGGAGAGCCAGTTGTCCCAGGTCTATGAGGTCACAGCTGAGGTCACAGAATGTTGACAAGGGCAAGGATGATATAGGAAGCAGGGGGCTGCTGTGAGATGGGGCTCAAAGAGGAGAAAGTCTAAGGGGGAAGGGGTGGGGTGATTTAAGGAGCCCAGCTGGGTAAGTTTCTGCGCATAATTGACCTGGTTCCTTACTGGGGTTTGGAGGTCAAGAAAGATGGGAGTGGGAAATGAGAGAGAAACTTCTCAAAGGAGGATCTGTCTCTTGTCTGGGTCACTGCTATGGCCTCTCAGCCCCATGTGTCTTTGACAGCATCAACTATGGGATTTCCCTTCTTCTCTACAAAGCACTTAAAGGCTGGAGCTGACTGGCCTCCAGCCTGCAGGTCTACCCTTAGTCGACCATGAAAATCCTGTGATGTGGGATGGGGTGGGGTGTTTGCCAATCTTGAATTCACTATATACTATTTCCTATCCTTGCTTTGAGTCCACCCTCAACTCAAAGAGCCTCTAGCCAACTCCCTACCTCCAATCTCAGCCAGCTGTTATTCATTACCTAGATCGTCTTTTTTTCACCTACCTTGTCACTAGAATTTCTGTTATTGATAACAAAGACAATAAGAAGATTTTACCTGAGACAGACACTTTCTTCCTCTTACCCTTATCTTTCTTTACACACATATGTACACATGCAGATGCACACACACACACACACATTCAAAACACAGATGTTCCCTAAACTACTGAGATAGCTATCCTGGTAGCTCTCCAGTGCATAAGTGCTTTTCTTTTCACCATATGCCTACCTGTTCCCTCTATTCATTTATGCCTTTCCAGGGCCTGGAGCTATCTCCATCTTCAGTTCCAGAGTCCTTGGTTTCTGTACAAGAACAAATGGCACAGCATGTGTACCAGAATAAAGAACAAAAGGCAAGAATGGCATCCAACCCTCAGAGAAGGTAAATGGGGCTAACGATGATCTTTAAGCATCCTTAGAAGAATGATGATCTCCCATCTCTCTTGATTTGGCTGCTCTTGCTTCCCAGCTTGGGAGTATGGGGACTTTCATGTGTCCTCCTCCTTTTCCATTCCCTCTATGAAAGGGAAAATACAAATCTTTGTCATTCTAATTTAGAAAGTAGGCATCAATTGCAGTTCCTCTAGGAGTTGGTTGGGTATACAGGCTAGGGATGTTTATTCATTCCAGGGTTGACTTTCTCTAGGTGCTTATGTCCTGTACAGTGTGAATCAAGGCCAGACATCCAAAACCACACTTCTCTTAGCCTAGGGTGAAAAAGAGGGCCAGAATCTGCTAAATATGAGACCTAGGTTATGTTAGCCATAAAATCAGAAAAAAAAGGAGGGTTTGCTGTGAGCCTATGGGTCAGAAAAGCTTCATAAAGGATTGGAATTTGGCTTGAGCTTTAAAGATGTTCTAAGATAAGAGTTTGTAGGAATTTGGAAAGAGAGAGTTAAAAGTGCCTTGTAAGTTTCTAGGCTGACTCTCTTTTTAAAGTGCCCAGAATGGTTAACTGGGCCTCAAGCCTTAGAGCCAGTTAGAAACTGAGAAGCCTGAACCTTGGAGAAAGCTAGGAATCTGATTTATCTAAGAGTATGAATTTCCAAGCAGCTGCAGGACCCTGAAGAGAAAATATTGAGTGGGCCAGGTGTGGTGGCTCACGCCTGTAATCCTAGCACTCTGGGAGGCCGAGGCAGGCAGATCTCTCAAGGTCAGAGTTCAAGATCAGCCTGAGCAAGAGTGAGACCCCGTCTCTACTAAAAATAGAAAGAAATTAATTGGCTAACTAAAAATATATAGAAAAAATTACTAAGTGAAGTATCCCAAGAATGGAGAAACAAGCACCAGATATATTCTCCAACAAACTGGTATTAACTGAGTAGCACCTAAGCGGACACATAGGTGCTACAGTAATAGGGTATTGGGCAGGTGGGAGGGGGGAGGGGGGCGGGTATATACATACATAATGAGTGAGATGTGCACCATCTGGGGATGGTCATGATGGAGACTCAGACTTTTGGGGGGGGGAAATGGGCATTTATTGAAACCTTAAAATCTGTACCCCCACAATATGCTGAAATAAAAAAAAATAAAAAAAAAAAATAAAAAATTAGCCGGGCATGGTGGTGCATGCCTGTAGTCCCAGTTACTCAGGAGGCTGAGGCAGAAGGATTGCTTGAGCCCAGGAGTTTGAGGTTGCTGTGAGCTAGGCTGATGCCATGGCACTCTAGCCCAGGCTACAGAGTGAGACTCTGTCTCAAAAAAAGAAAAGAAAGAAAGAAGAAAGAAAAGAAAGAAGAAAGAAAGAAAGAAAGAAAGAAAGAAAGAAAGAAAGAAAGAAAAGAAAAGAAAAGAAAAGAAAGAAAAAAAAAGAAAAGAAAGAAAAGAAAAGAAAAGAAAAGAAAAGAAAAGAAAGAAAGAAAAGAAAATAGTGAGTGGATATTGGAGTCTCTTAGGCTTCTATATGAGGAAGCACATAAGCCATACCAGAGCCCTAATTTCTCTGCTGAGGACAAAGACACTGTAAAAATAACATTAATAACAACAATGTTTGAAATAAACTTAATAGTTACAAGAGCTTCCATATAATCCTCCTACAAACTCTTAACATAAAGATCATTCTTCTTATAGGTTAGAAAACAGATTCATATAGGCAGAGAGACTTGCCAAAAGTCCTAGAACAGGAACATAGTGAAACTGGAATTCACTTCTGTCAATTCTTCTGTCCCTAAATTCCAAATTCTTCCTACTGCAATGTAATCAGGCTTCTGATAACTCAGTCCTAAAACAAGTAGTTCACGATAATTTATAAGCTTTTAGACAAGTCAAAACATAGAGAGCAATCAAACAGACCTAAGTTGGAATCCAAGCTTTTCCACTACTATTCTTAAAGATATCATTTTGCCATACAGTAAAGTAGGCCACCCACGTCTCCCTGTCTGAGGATAGGATATGTGGATCAAGGCACCTACCTCAGTGCCTACTTCTGGAGGCTCCATCTGCTTCTGCCCCAATTTCAGGTAATAAATTTCTAGGATTCTACTGTGAGTCTGTCTATCTCACTCTCTCACTCTCTCTCTCTCTCTCTCTCTCACTCTCTCTCATCACACACACATACACACAAACACACACACATGCACACCTACTTCCTAACCATTTCTCCCAAAGTCTTTACCCAGTGTGGCAATTATTCACCACCTCTGTTACAAGGGTTTGGATTGAAACCATCTGGAGGAGAAAAGTTGAGGTGAGCCCCAGTTGTTTTATTTTTTCTCCTCTCCTCACTCCCTGGAAAAGGTAGAGAGAACCCACTACCCAGAAACATCACATTACTTGACTTCAAAATATACTCCAAAGTTATAGTAACCAAAGTAGCATGGTATTGGTATAAAAACAGACATATAGACCAATGAAATAGAATAGAGAACCCAGAAAGAAAGCCATGTATTTACAGCCAACTGATTTTCAACCAAGGCACCAAGAACATTCAGTGGGGAAAGGACACTCTATCCAATAAACAGTGCTGGGTAAGCCAGATATCCATGTTCAGAAGAATGAAACCAGGCTCCTGTATCTCACTATTAAAAAAGATCACCTCAAAATAGATTAAGATTTAAATGTAAGACCTGAAACTATAAAACTACTAGAAGAGGCAGGGTAGGTGGTTCACACCTGTAATCCTAGCACTCTGGGAGGCCAAAGCGGGAGGATCACTTGAGGTCAGGAGTTCAAGACCAGCCTGAGCAAGCATGAGACCCCTGTCTCTACTAAAAATAGAAAAAAATTATCTGGGCAACTAAAAATAGAAAAATTAGCCAGACGTGGTGGCACGTACCTATTCTCCCAGCTACTCAGAAGGCTGAGGCAGGAGGATGCCTTGAGCCCAGGAGTTTGAAATTGCTGGGAGCTAGCTGATGCCATGGCACTCTAGCCTGAGCAACAGAGCAAGATTCTGTCAAAAAAAAAAAAAAAAAACTAGAAGAAAGCATGAGAAAAACTCTTTATGACATTGGTTTTGGCAAAGATTTTATAACTAAGACCTCAAAAGCACAGACAAATAAAAAAAAAAACAGACAAATGGGACTACTGTAAACTAAAATGCTTCTGCACAGTAAAGGAGACAGAGGAGTGAAGAGACAACCTATTGAATGAGAGAAAATATTTGCAAACTATTCATCTGACAAGTGACTAACATCCAGAATATACAAGGAGCCCAAACAACTCAACAGCAAAAATAAATAAATAAATACTCCCATTAAAATGTGGACAGAGTTTCTCAATAGACATTTCTCAAAAGAAGACACACAAATGGCCAATAGGTATATGAAAAAATGCTCAACATCACTAATCACAATAGAAATGCAAATCAAAACCTCACTAAAATATCACCTAATCCCAGTTAGAATGGTTATTATCAAAAAGACAAAAAAAAATAACATGCTGGCAAGGATGCAAGGAAAAGGAACACTTATACAGTGTTGATGGGAATGTTAATTAGTACAGCCATTGTGAAAAACAATAGGGATGTTTCTCAAAACGCTAAAAATATAACTACCATACAACCAAGCAATTCCACTACTGGGCATTTATCCAAAGGAAAAGAAATCAGTATATCAAAGAGATACCTGCACCCCTGTGTTTACTGCAGGACTATTCACAATAGCCAAAATATGGAATCAACATAAGTGTCCATCAACAGATGAATGAATAAAGAAATTGTGGAGTACATACACAATAGAATAATATTCTGCCATAGAAAAGAATGAAATTCTGTCATCTGTAACAACATGTTTGAAATTGGAATTCATTATGTTAAGTGAAATAAGCCAGGCACAGAAAGACAAATAACACATGTTCTCATATGTGAGAGACAAAAAGGTTGATATTATGGAGGTAGAGAGTAAAATGATAGTTACTACAGGCTGGGAAGGGGGGGTGGTGATGAAGAGAGGTTTGTTAATGGATACAACCATATAGTTAGAAGAAGTAAGCTCTAGTGCTCTATAGCATAGTAGGATGATGATGTTAATAGTTAAAAATAATTTATTATATATTTCAAAATAGCTAGAAGAAAATATTTAAAATGTTCCCATACGAGGAAATGATAAATGTTTTAGGTGATGGAAAACTTAAATACTCTGATTTGATCATTACACACTATATTAATAGATCCTGAGCTCAGTTGGAGCCTAGTGTTAACCAAGCTAAGATCAAGAGTTCGAACATCATGTGAGGGTTACTTGGTTTTGCACCAAGATAGAAAATTCTGCTCCACGGTTAAAGACTGCCTTTTCAGCCCAATAAGCCATCTTTTGATAGCATGTATCAAAATATCACACGTACTTCATGAATAGGTATAATTATATGTATCAACAAATAATAAAAAGTACGGGTGTTTTTAGGATAATGCACATGGTTTGGATTTACAGTGAGGAAGAGCTGTCCCCAAGTTCCATGGAGAAGTAGCACTGTAGCTGGCAAAGTTGTGTGCAGGAGCCTTCTGATATGATGGCTCCCAAAGAGATTTCCATCCTGCTGTCCTGAATCTATGTTCATCTGTTAGGCTCAGTGTCATCTTGGGCCCAGTTTTTGCTCTCTTCTGGATCCCCAGACTCCCTGTAATTACTGGCCTCCCTACCATTGTTTGTAAAGACTTACTGCTTCTTTTTATGGCAAGAACTATACGAAACAGGAAGCCCAAACCAGAGATGTAAAGATCCTTGCATTCCGAAACATGATTTTCCCTCCATTACCTTTCCCCTTTTTTTCCAATCCCTTCTCAGGGTCCCACCCCAGGGCCCCTGAAACAATTATAGCAGATAATGACCTACTCTTCCCTCCTCCATTTCATTACTAACACCCTGGCTTCCTGTGACCTGTTACCCCTATGCAAGTCTACACATGGGGCCAGGAGATGCAGGCTGAATCTACTCAGGATCCACTAGATGGTAGATCAGACTGGTTGCCCAAGTTTCATCCATTTTCACCCCTCTCCTTCCTGACAGTTAACATCTAACTCTGTATACAGCTATTCCCTCTCCCAGGTGACTTTGGCACTGATTTAGGAATAAGAGCTTCAGTTGTGCTGCCAAGAATAAGCAAAAGCTTTCAACTTCTTCCTCAGCCTTCCATCCCCATCCCCATCCCCATCCCCACCCCATCAGAGGTCATGAAGGAAAAGGAGAACACATTTTGGGGGGACAAAAAAGGAAATAGTATACTGGTTGAATGTACTTTCTCAAGAAGGACCTGGAAAGTTCAACAGGTTAGGTGAGGTGAAGGATTAGGAGTAGACACAATTAGGCAGCCAGGAAAATGGTAACGTTTAATGATAGTAACCATCACCTTCACTTCCATTGTTCTATGCTTTAGAGTTCTGAAGTGCTATCACAATAGCCAAGATACTGGGAAGATGAGGCAAGGGTCCCACCTCTCACAAGTCCCAAAGGGGAAATGAGAGGTGGGACCCTGTTGATCATTGTGAATTTTTAGTACAGAAAGTTCAAGAATTCTTGCTAAGAGTTGTAGAATAAAGTTAGAAGAAGCCTTTGGCTTATGTTCTCTGCTCCTTATCTGGTTTATATCATTCTTTCTTTCCAGCACATCCACAGAAGAGACAATAAAACCAGAGGTGGGTAAGATACCCAAAGGCACTGGTTCCTTTGAGGCTCCTGGTTCCTGGGGAGGGGGAGGAGAAGAGGCTGCAGTCAGGAGACAGCAAAGCTGCCTGACAAGAACCATATCTTAGAGGGCTCAGGCTTTGTAGTTCCAGGAGCTCTTGACCGACTGGTGGATCATTGTCTACCAAGGCCAGGTAACACCTCCAATGCCACTGCTACACCAGATGGCTCCAGGGGCAGGCAGGCTATCCAGGCATTGATAAGGTGGGTAAACATATGGGTCTGTTTGTACCTGTCACCCACCAGCTAGATTAAGAGACAAACAGGAGCTATGGGCTGAAAATGACTCAGCAGGGCTGAACTTTCAGCTGCCTAAAAATGGGGTGATTTTGGGTCTCCATCTTAATTCCAAGAAATATATTTTATTCCACCAGTTTCATGATTATTGCAGTTTAGATTCTGGGATAGCTGGGATAATATTTCCAAGATTTGTTCCTTATTTCTACAGGAAAGACAGGTAACCATCACTGAAACCCTATGGGACCAGGTGAGTACAGAGGAGCCATTTTTGACGGCATAGGGAGGGGTGTGAGGAAAGAGACAAAGAGTTTAAGAAAGGACCAAATTTCTTTCTCTTTCCTTGAGCGGTTTGCTGATTGACAGTGAAGAATTACTGTGGTCCCCCTGTCTTGTTCTGTTTTTCATTCAGTCCCACATCCCTAGAACTCCTCATGTCTATGCATCTCAGTGCCCTTCCCCAACACCCATTGTGTGATGCCATCATGGGTCCAGTTTGTTGAAGTCTGGTTTTAAGGGTGAGGAGAACTGAGGTTTAATTCCTCAGTTCTCAGTGACTGCTACAGACTTGAAAGGACAGGTTTGGCCTTTCTCACAGGTTCCATGTGATGAAGTTGTGCTCTGGTCCCTACAGCAAAGGCTGATGTATCTATGCACTTCCAAGTCATTTTAAATCGAGATAAAGACCTTCGTGAAAGTAATAAAACCAAGCAAAATTAAGTTAAATTCAGCCTTTATTGAACATCACCCACCATAAGCCACACTCTAAAGAGATAATCATTCTTTCTCTCAAGAATCTTACAGCTGAGATTCTTGAAAGAAGAAAGGCATATAAAGAAATACTTCTTTAAAAAATATAAATATATATTTTTTCATATTACATATAATTTGTGTGTATATAATAAAGATCATTTGATTTGTATATATATGTATGTCGTAAATATCTTCTTCCGGTTGTTTCCCAGTCTATCTTTTGCCACAAAGCAGGTTTAAATAGTTTATCATATATATTTTTTTTTACCTATTGGTAAAAAGATTCTTTTCTCTCTTAATTATGTTATATTTTCTTCTAAATATGTTGTGATTTATACATAATTTATCTGTCATTTACTTATAAATATGATTTGAATTTTGGAAATAATTTTTTCTGTGCACAATTTTCTCAACATTGTTTTTTAAATAGTCAGATTTCTCTCACTGATTTGTAATGTCACCTTTATTATAAGCCAACTTCCCACATATGCCTGAATCTGTTCCTGAACATTATCTACCAGAGTTTCTCAACTATCGCACTATTAACATTTTGGGCTGGATAATTCCTTGTTGTGGGGAGCTGTCCTGTACACTGTAGGATACTCAGAAGCATCCCTGGCCTCTACATATTAGATGATCCTCCTCCCCAGTTGTGACAAACAAAAATGTCTCCAGACATTACCTAATATCCTTTGGGAGAGGATTAAAATCACCTCTGGCTGAAAAACCCACAAATATACACATCTATTTTTATGTCAATTCTATAGTATTTTACCTGCTTAAATTTATAAAATGCTTTGATATTTACTGGTACAAGACCCTCTATTCTTATTCTCAAAATTGTCTTAGCTATTCTTGTTTCTATGAATTTTAGAATTGATTTTGTCAAGTTTCATGGAAAATATTTTTATTTTTATTAGAATTGGCTTGAATTTATAGATAAATTTGGAAAATGTGATATTTTTATTTTAATGAGTTTTTCCATTCACGGGAGCTTGTTGGACTAGGGGATTATATCTCATGTGTAACCTACCTTCCCTGTCACACAGGTTTCTGGTTAATTTCATCTGGCCTCCTCTAGGGTTCATGACCCCAAGGAGGTCTTCTATTAAAAGCTTAGGCTTTTGCCACTGGAAAATATCACAGTTATAGAACCCACACCTGCTCCATCTCATGAACAGAAAGAAAGTGATTCTACCTCTGGAGCTATGAAATTGGCTAAGAAATACTGACTGTTGCCCTCAATTCCTGCATCATAAAACATAATTTTCTGAAAGATTTGGTCCCTACAGAATGAGTAGGCCTCAAAATAAACCTTTCAAAGATTAAATTAGTCAATCTGAAGAGTAGAGGTATTTGGTTTTATCCATTTGAATGCCAAATTGAATACATAAAAAGAGATTTTGTGGGGAGAGGTATAATTGACAGTAAGCTGTTCTGAAAGTAACATGCCAAGTGGCCCCATTGCTTCCAGAGGTCTTGCTTAGAACATGGTTAGGATCCTGTCATTATCAGAGAGGATGATTACTTTTCTTCTATGGCCGATGGGCTATGCCTAGGGGTTCAGGGTCTATATCAAAACATTTAAAGACATAGAAATTGAATTTCATCATTCAGATAGACTTTCAATAGCTGGGACGCCATTCTACTTTGCATGATTTATAGTGGGAGATTGCTTTGTTGCTAATGTATTTCTACCTTTCTGGTTTTCTTTAGGGTATTTCAATAAAGATTTTGAAAAGAACACAATAACCAGATTCTCTGTGTGACATCAGAGATTACCAACAAAAATTTCTAAATGCTTCAAAATATCTTACATATTCCCAAATCTATTGAAAATTATTTGAACAAGAATAACGGCTCATGGTATAAAAGTATGCCTGGAGCTTTCCAGTTCTTTAATGAGATTTGAGAGGCTCAGACCCATTATTTGATGAAGAGTTCTAAAGTATGAGAAGAAAGCAAAGAATATGAATCTGTACTAAGTGAGGAATTATCCTTTCTGTCATTAGGAAAAAGACTATATTTTGATTCCACTTCAAGGGAGCTGTATCTCAGGAATCAGATTAAATTATTTACTGTAATTTGGTTTAAAGAGATCCAGTCCAAAAAAAAAAAGACTTCCTTGTAGAAGATAGTTTACTTAGATGTTCTATAATGAATAAAATGTTAAATCCTATCAAGAAAGTATTTGGGAATTTGAAAACTATAAGTTGAAAATGAGAAATAAGCTCATCAGGCCATCATCAGGAATCTGTTACCTTCAGTCTTCTAACAGAAGCAATACCATGAGCAGTAGGTATCAGAATCTACATTATTAAGTCCTGCTTTTTACAATAGACTTAAATCGATTTGTGAGTAACTTCTTCTAATTCTATAAAAGCTGATGTTTTTTCACTTCGGCAAAATGTCCTTGGTTTCCCAGCCATCTGAAAATGACAATCTAGATGGCCAATTCTCAAACATGAAAATGTCAGGTTCCACTTTATATTTGAATGGTGCATGAGTGCAGAAGCTAATTATGCCCCTAAGATAGCCACAGCAAACTGTTGTGAACTTTCATAGAAAACATGAATTTATGTGGATTTTCTAAGAGGTCTTCCCACAATTATTAGCTACTTTAACATCCCGATCTTGACATTCTAATTGTATGTACATTTAAACTCTTGGATAGGTGTGCTGGCCAGTGAGCTCAGTTGGTTAGAGTGTGGTGCTAATAAACTCTTGGATAGAGATAAGAATTAAAGGATAATTGATCAGTTTTTAGTATTAGTTTTCCATATGGATCCGAGTAGGAAAAGACTGTTAATTAAATCAGTGACTATGGATTTTTGATTAAAAATGAGTGAAATTCTTCAGAGCCTCTCCTATGAACCCCCACTCTACAATATTGTATGAAATGAGTAATATGACCAACTTTCTTTATTGTCTGTGATTTTAAATCATAGAGTTTAAGTTTTACATAAGGAAACAATCTTAATTACGATGCTAACATTAGCATAACTATTTCATGTTCTCACAATTATTGTATTAACTAAAGAGTGAATTGCTTGTGTAAGGGTCAGAAGACAATCCTGTCAAGAACCAGTAAATAAGTGAATACCTATAATATAACAAACAATGAATATGATATAACAAAAAGTGAACAAAGGGTTGCTGAGAGGCAATAAATTGATAATTGGCACATTCTAACCCTTTTACTATATTCATCTTCCATATGTATCCTTATACACAAATTGAAACTCCTGAGTATCTACAAAAACTACATTTACACCGAACAAGATACAGCTGTCTTAAAATTCTCATGCTTTCTCCCAAATGAGGCAACCCAAAGTTCCAACAGTCATTTTATCTCTCCATGGCTGAGTAATAAAGTAGGTATATATTTAGTTTTATAAGAAACTGCAAGTACTTTTTTCAAGTGATCATATGATTTTCCACTCCCTCCAACAATGTATGAGAATTGTAGCTGTTCTGTATTATCCTCACTAACATTTGGTGTTGTCTTCCAATGTATTATAACCTAAATACAAATGTGTGTTGATTTTAATACCTATGCTTACCTTCAGAATGAGCACTCATTAAACAGAAATGAAAGTAACAGTGGGTTTCATTATACACCCCATGCACAACCCAGTCCTCTTTAAACACCTTACTGTATTTGCCCAGTTTACCATACAGAGAAATGACAGCCCGGAGGTATATGTAGAATGGAAGTCAATAAGAATTTGTTGCTGAAGCTAGAAAGCCACAATCTGCAGCCTAAAGCCTGGGAGATTATGTAATTTAATTTTATATATAAAATCCCTTTGTAATAAAGTGACAGTCTGTAATACTAATTTTTCTATATTTCTGTCTTCTGTCAGGTGCTGACAGCTTTTAAGGATATACAAAAGGAGGTGAGATTAAATTTTGATTCTCTGAATTTCCTGACCTCATCACGTGCCCTTGATCTCATTTTTTCCTTACGCTATGGAGATGTAGACTCTGACCAAGATTTCAGCTTCATTTATTTATCTAGTAATTTCTCCCTTTAAAGAGGAGCATTAACTTATCAGTTCAGGCAACTAAGGCAAGAGGATGCCTAACAATTTCCCTGAGGAAATGTGATAATATAGAAAAAATTCTATCTACCAGAACAAAACTACTGTATGTAGCTGGTTGTAGGAAATGTTGATGAGTAACTGAGTTGGCAGGAATCCCATAGTGACATGGTAAACTGCCTTATTAGGTGATTATTAACTGCAGGGAAGTGCAAATTAGACACTAGAGCTAAGTTTCTTGGGTAAATAGAAACAAATTCTCTTTTTGTCCTCTTCTTCTGTGCAGCTTTCAGTCTTTTTTCTAAACACTGATCAAATACTTAAACAATGTAGTCAAGTATGTGCCATGTTATCCTGCCTTAGACACTGAGTTATTATCCTATATTAGCCTGCTCAAGGTGCTGATATGTCTTGGGCCTACCAAACCCACTGTCACATCTTAATTTTTTTCCTCTTTGTTAGAGTGGAGAGCAACAGACACTATCTACACAATTACTTATTAACAGACTATTTATATAAGCCATAAACATAGGAAAACACGTAACTTAAGACAAATACAAATATTCTAAAACCAATGCAAGCAGGAAACTTCTGTACAGATTTCTTAACTTGTGTCTGTCTGAATAAAGATACAATTTCATTAAAATTAGAATCTAAATATAAAATGAACTTCCTGTGGTATTAGAACCAGCAGCTCTCTTCCTGGTTGGGTAGGAATGATGGACAAAGGGATTGTTCAGCATTAAAAATAAACTTACAGCCAGGCGAGGTGGCTCACGCCTGTAATCCTAGCACTCCAGGAGGCCGAGGCGGATGTATCACTCAAGGTCAGGAGTTCAAAACCAGCCTGAGCAAGAGTGAGACCCCGTCTCTACTAAAAACAGAAAGAAATTAATTGGCCAACTAAACACATATAGAAAAAATTAGCTGGGCATGGTGGCGCATGCCTGTAGTCCCAGCTACTCGGGAGACTGAGGCAGGAGGATTGCTTGAGCCCAGGAGTTTAAGGTTGCTGTGAGCTGGGCTGATGCCATGGCACTTTAGCCAGGCAACAGAGTGAGACTCTATCTCAAAAAATAAAATAAAATAAAATAAAATAAACTTCCTCTATTTCCCTATCTGGATCACGTTTGGTAGAACTGAGCCCCTTTCTGTGATCCAAGAAGCCATATCTCTATATCCTGTTGCTGTGTTTAGGACTGACTCTAGTGAAAATTATGGCAGCCTTTGCCTTCGCCAGGCTGTGAATAAAAGGAGACAGCAGACAGAGATCAGACACTTGATATTTTCACCCACGTTTTGCCTCTGGGGTCAGGTGCCTCGATGCTACCTAGAACTTTAGTCCCCTGAGACTAGTGGGAGGAGGAGGCTTATCCCTAAGTGAGACGTGTGTGCTGAATTCCATCCTCTCAGGCCTACACATGAAGTTAACTAGTCTGTCTGACACTCTCCTCTGGTCCTGCTTGATGGAGTCAATCAGACACAATCCATACCCTCACAGATCCTCCAAGCTGGTCCAAGCAAAACAAATACCCTAGGCACAGACATGTAAGGGAAATTTTGTACTTAAATATTGAGGTTCTTACTTCAGTAAAAAAGAATAAAGCTAAGCAAGAGACAGCAGAGTTAGAATGTGATCTCTTCCTGATTAGGCAAACATAAGGCCCAGCACTAGAGCATTCTGATGCAGAAAAACCATCTAGTGGCTCATGTGAGCTCAGGGGGCCCAAAGTGTATCATTGGCAGCTATCACTGTGGGTAAGATGGATTTTTCAAAAGGTCCTTTGGAAGCACTTAAAGGTTCAGCACAGAGAACCACTGGAGACTCAATGAGGAGGGTATTAGGGCCCAGAAAACACACAGCAGAAAGGCCAGAAAGAATAAAATAGGTGAGGTCATAGTATGAGTAGTTATGGCTATAAGTAATGAATCGTGTATCTCCTACCCCTAGAGAAGCCACAGCTTGCTCCTATTTATTTATTCATTTATTATTCAAAAAATATTTCTGGAGAATATGCTGTACACAGGACATTATCTTAAGTGGTTTGGTGTTAAATATGCAAAAACAATACAAATTCTGCTTTCAGGAAACTTAAAATTTATTTCAATTTCCAAGAAGTCCAAATTTCCCCAATAGACATCCCTACATTTGACCAAGTCTGTAGCTGGTACACTGGAGGTCCAGAGGAGACCAGCCACCTTAGTCTCTGACTCATTGAAATCTCTTTATTTTTCAGCTGCAGGAAGATGCTCGGATTCGAGGTAAAAGAGCAGTATTCCAAGGTTTGGATAAGGAAACAAGGGAAGGTATTTGGGGAATAAGGAGGAGTTCATCCCAAAGTCTTATCTCAGTATCTTCCATTTGGCTTAGAGCTGAAGTCCAGTTACCCTTTTCCTTCCCCTCCTCAACCAAGCTGGGAATTGACTTTCCTTAAAGCCCCCATGAGCACTGCTAGTCTCTCCTCTGTCCAGCCTAGTTACCTTGTGTCTTAGTTTATGAGGGCTGCTATAATAGAATACCATAGATTGTGTGGCTTATAAACAGCAGAAATTTATTTCTTACAGTTCTAGAGGCTGGCATGTCCAAAACAAGGTGCTGGCAGATTCCGTGTCTCATAAGGGACTTTTCCTGGATTATAGACAGCCATCTTTTTGCTGTGTCCTCATATGGTGGAAGAAGCAAGGAAGTTCTCTGGGTTTTCTTTTTGTAAAGGCACTGATATCATTCATGAGGGCTATGCTCCCATGACCTAATCATCTCCCAACAGCCCCTCATCTTAATATCATTGCACTGGGGATTAGGTTTCAATATATGAGTTTGGAGGGGATGCAAGCTTTGTGTCTATAGCACCCAGACAGAGATGGAAGGATCCCTTTCTCCCTTGGAATGGCTGTTGAGGGCCTGAGGACACTCTTAGACCTCAGTCAGACATGGCTCTAGTTGGCAGAAGAGAGACAGCAAGCACAGAAAGGAGCAGCTTCCAGGGCTGGCATAGGGATGGAATAGTGGGGAGGTCAGAGTGGAATGATTATTCAGTGTGGTTGAGTTACAGTTCTCAAATGCATACATGCAAATTCCAGTGTTTCAGTAAAATACTCAAAATACCCAGGAGGCTAGAGTTCCAGCATAAAAGCTGTATTTGGAGCTCCTTCCTTCACTTACCCAAGGAAGAACTTATAAATTGGGGGTTTTCAAACTTTTGCATATTTACAAATCACCTTGGTCCCTTGTTTAAAAGCAGATTCTTATTCAGCATATCTAGGGTGGGACTTTCATACCCCATGGAAGAGATGAAGAGACTTCAGCTGTGGGAACAAGAGGCAGGGAGGGGAGGAAATCTAAAGGAGAGTCTGATTGCTCCTGGGATCTCTCTGGTATTGACCACTCCCTGCTTTTCTAGCCTCTCCACAAAACAGTGTTCATAAGAGTACAAATCTTGGAGATCTTTAAATACAGACAGTCCAGAGAAGGCCTCCTCTGATCTTTCTCCAAGCCTGGTCAATCACCTCCACTGCAGAATAAGGAACTATGGCCTGGCAGAATCCACTGTGAGATCCAAAGTATTATGAGATACTTTATGTGGATGTTGACCCCTAATGGTCAAAAGTTCAAATAGGGCCAAGTGTATCTCTGCTTGAAGGATGCTCTCCTTTATCCAAGGAAGCCTGATTTCCAAAGAGGTCACTACAGGATCCTGGGAATAACTGCTTGATTACCCAGCCTGTAAAAATGTGGATTTAAGATCTAACTACTGCTGCTGTTTTTCTGCTACCTGAGAGATTGGAGTGGGGGGGGGGATGCAGAGGGTGAAATTCAGGGTAAAAATGAGAATCCAAGTCTCATTGTATCTATTGTCCATACAAAAAAGGAGATAAGAATTGAGAAACCAGGGACTTGTTCTGGTGGCAGTGCCCTGCAACTGAAGCATTCAGCTAACTCCTAAATTTCCAGCACTGGTGTAACAGAGCTCCAGTGGCCATGATTCACTATGCTTCACAGGTGGCCAGATGTCTGGTGCCACATTCTGCAACTGCCTCTCTTACAGGCCTGTTAGGTCCTCAGTGTCCCCACAAGTCTTGCCCCTCCCACTTTGACTGGCTATGCTCCAAACTAGAGATGTGAGCTTGGCAATTGGAGACATTTCCAGACCCCTGTAAGATAATGACCACTTCCTGTGTCCACAGGGATGAGCTCCACGACACCCATGCCATCTGCACTCAGGACTGGGTAAGCTGACCTATTCTGATAGTCCCCAAGGGAGATGGTATCCACCCAGATATAGGTGTGGTGACCAGGTTATAGCTTATCTCTGAGCCTTGAGCCTTCAGGATCCTATACTTCTAATAGGTGTCTCTTTTAAAGGGGCAAGAGGTATCCTCCACACCATCTCTACTGATGGTGAACTACAGATCAGAGCTTCCTCCTCCATTCTCAGCCCCATCATAAATCCCTAGAATCTCAGGGTCAGTCCTGAATCTCACAATAATGGGCTTTGGGAAACTCTCTTCATTCAGTTGAGGAAATAACAGAACATAGAAAGAATGGCAGATAGGAAAGGAAAGCCATGGAGAAGAGGTAAAGAATAATGGACTTAGAAATTATAAAGAAAATTAACAAAAGTTTGGGAGACCGATGTCCTAACATTGGAAGATGTTGATTTCTTTTTCATAACAAGATAAGGAGAAAAGAACATCAGGCTTCCACACCAGAGATTTAGTTTAGACATCGGGAATGACTTTCCAACAGCAACAACTGAGAAAGAGAGGACTGGGTAGTCAAGAAAGATGGTGGCACCATGTTCTTTGGAGGGCGTGGAAGTAAACACTTTTTAAAAAATCAGTTTGGCCAGGTGCAGTGGCTCACACCTGTAATCCTAGCACTCTGGGAGGCCGAGGCGGGAGGATTGCTCAAGGTCAGGAGTTTGAAACCAGCCTGAGCAAGAGCGAGACACCGGCTCTACTAAAAATAGAAATAAATGAATTGGCCAACTAAAAATATATAGAAAAATATAGCCAGGCATGGTGGTGCATGCCTGTAGTCCCAGCTACTCGGGAGGCTGAGGCAGGAGGATTGCTTGAGCCCATGAGTTTGAGGTTGCTGTGAGCTAGGCTGACGCCACGGCACTCTAGCTCAGGCAACAGAATGAGAGTCTGTCTCAAAGAAAAAAAATAAATCAGTTTGACATGTTTCAGATATGGTTCTGCTTCAACCAGGAAATGGAGAAGGTGAACTTATATCCCTATTTGAACAGAATTTTTCTTATATCTCAGAGAGCTGGCTCTGGTGAAATAAAACCATTCCTTTTAAAGAAACAGATCATTATGCTTCAACTTGCTCAGTGCCGAAACCATGGAAGGGATAACTGAAAGGTGACCTCATATTTACATAAATCATAAATGTAATTATTGTAAACCTTTACATATGAAGAGCACTTTTGATTGGTCAAAACCCTTTTGGATCTATTATCTTACTTAATTTTAATAGTCCTCTAAAGCAAGTAGCAGGAATTCTCCTCATGATAACAGGCTCTGAGAGATTATGATGCGTCATCTCCCAAAGCCCAGCAAGAGCTTTTTCCTGTGGGCCACACAGGGAGTTGCAAGCCCCAGAACCAGTGATGCCCGTTCCTGGTGGAGCATGATAACAAAATCTCTAAGGACAGCGCAGGCCAGGGAGGAGACCCAAAGGGTAGGATCTCTTTCCCTCATACATCCACAACCTCCTCTTACTTGCTACAGAAACACTAGACCTCCAGATTTCTGGATGACCCCAAATTTGAGAAGATCACAGTTCAGCACTGGAGACCAGCCGTCAGGAGCCCGTACCCACAACCTGAAGACACAGCTCTCTGGTCAATCAGCTTACTACCCTGGACCCTAACTCTATAATCAAGGAAAAAGGTCTCCTCTGCTTCTGTCAGGTATTTCCCCCGGGCAGTCTTTCCCCCTAGCTCCACCCTGCCTACCTGCTATAGTCAGAACCCAGGCCTTATAGGTCCTCATCCCAACATGGGAGAGCAGCAACCCACCAAGCAGGTGTGGTCCAGTGCAAGGGGCAATGGGATGAGAGGGCGGACAAGTGAGGGAAGGGCTAGGCCCAGGTTCTTTTGGTCTCTGCAGTCAAGACAAAGAGCCAGAGTGCATCAGATGTAGATAGTTCTGTATAGGGAGACATTCAGAAATCAGGGAGAGACAACTGTGGGATAGAGAGATGGAAAGGTGGAAAGTTTAAAAACACACTAAGGTGAGGTGAGGTCCGTAATTCCTTTCTGGAAAGTGCTCTGGAAACTTGCATTACTTTGCAGGCTTACTTCAGAATCAAGAGTCAAACATAGAACATCCTTTATAGACTCCTTTGCCAGTACTCTTTTTTTTAAATAGAGGACTTGAGTGTGCTGCCCCCAGAGGCACTGCTTCAGGCCCTTCCCACAATCCTTTTCACTCTCCTATGCCCTATTAGGCTCATCTGACACCTAACCCCACATAGAGAAGAAGACTGTCCTAGACACTCACCCTGTGGCATAGACTATTTTAGCCACACCCTAGCCACACACTTCTCTAAGGCTCATTGGGAATTCCTTTTAAGACACAGTCTGAGTTATAGGCAATGGAGAAAATTGATTTCATCTGCCATTGTCTTAGTTCAGCGACTCTATGTATTTTCTTGAATAGTCCTCTTTCAAATATTTTATCCTGTTTCCCCCACAAATCATCAAAATATGCAAAACATTACAATATTTTAGCATCAAAATTACATCTTTCTAAAGGAACACATATACTCATAAAAGCTCTGCCATCACTCAAAACCCAATTTTGGTTCAAGTATTAAGGCAGGAAGCTTACTTCCTCTAGTACAACACAGACAGAAAGTATCAGATAGTAAAGATCCTGAAATGGAAACTACATAGAATATGTCCTACAGGCAATGGATCTCCACCCTCAGTTCCTGTTGGATGTCTTGGGATGGGGGCATGAGGGCACCACCATGAGGACTGCTTTTACTTTCAGAGTCACCTGCCTAGTGAACTATCTAGCAGGGAGGAGAATAAATGTCTTTTCTTTCCATCCATGTGACTGTGACATCTAGATCATAGCTTCAGTAGCTTGAGAAAGAGAAGATATTAGACATCGTCACTGAACCCAGAAGAGAGAGTGGTGCCCATGGGTGGAGATGCCAGGGTCAATGACTGCAACTGGGAATTTGGAAATCAAGTGAGACCCAAACACATCTCAACTGCCAAGCAAAGAAACCAAAAAACAAACAACTAATGTAATAAATGTGATGTAAGAGACATTTGCCCTCTTAGTTCTTCCTGGGTTGTAGAATGTAGTGATAGAATTTCCAAGTATGGTATTACATTTGGTTCAGAGAACAACATGATAGCCTGGGAGAAGACATGCATTGTTAAGTCATAAAACTACTCTGACTTTATCTAAGTTATTCTTTGTGGGCCTCAGTTCCATCTCCTGTAAAGTAAGTGAACATTACTAAAAAATGCAGAAGGCGCCTTTCATTTCTAATATCTAGTAGCCTGCTCTTACAGTCTACAGTTTCAACACAGTTATCCTCCAGCCTATGAAAAGATCACCTAGTCCAAAAATATTTCCTACAAGAAAGAACTATTAAGGATATTTGTCAAATATGGTAACCTTTGCATATATAAATGCTCACATTAAATTTCAATTTCAAATGCTCAATTTCAAAAAACATACAGATGAAAAGATGCTCAACATTATATATTATTGCTAATTAAAACAACAAAGAGATACCATTACATACTTACTAGAATGGATGAAATCCAAAAAGTTGACAATATCAAATGCTGATGAGAATGTGGAGTAACAGGAACTCTCATTCATTGCTGGTGGGAATGCAAAATGGTACAGGCACTTTGAAAGATAGTTTAACAGTTTCTTACAAAGCTAAACATAATCTTACCATTCCATCCAGCATTTAAAATTCTTGATATTTATCCAATTGAATTGAAAACTTATGTCCACATAAAAACTCCACAAGAATGTTTACAGCAGCTTTACAGTCAATCCTCCTATTTGCAGATTCTATATTTGTGATTCTATTTTCTAAAGTTTACCTGTAACCTCAAAATCAATACTTGCAGCACTCACAGACAATCACTCACAGACAAGCAGTCTGTCACTCACAGACAATCAGAGAGCAGTGAAAAATTTGAGCCACCCAATGTGCATGTTACCAACTGAGCTTGAACAAGATAAAGCTGTCTTCTTATTTCAGTTCTCATGTTATAAACAATTGTCTCTTTCACAGTCTATTTAGTACCATGTTTTTTGCATTTATATAGTTTCTGTTGCTGATTTCACTGTTTAAAATGGTCCCCAAGCATAGTGCTGAAGTGCTATCTAATGTTCCTAAGCCTAAGAAGCCTGTGATGGGCCTTACAAAAATTATATACATGTCAGGTAAGTCTGATTCAAGCAAAAGTTGTACTGTGATTGGCCATGAGTTCAATGATAATGAATAAACAATATAGTACATACAGACAAAGGAAGAGGACATTCACTAATCTGCATGTAAGGTTGCTATGGACAGTACTAAAATAACATCTATAGTGTATGATGAAGCTATGGAAAAGATAGAAAAGCAGCTAAATGTGTGAATATATGAGATGATGGACAATTTTAAAAAGTATAGGGCTCTCATACCACTTCTTTTCAACATCATTCTGGAAGTCCTAATGCAGTAAGAAAAGAAAATGAAACATACAGATGTGAAGGAAGAAATAAAACTGTCTTTGTTCACAGAAGATGTTGTCTATGTAAAAAAAATCCAAAAGATTGATGAAAAAATTCATAGAACTAATAAGCAATTATAGCAAAATTGCAGAATACGAGGTTCAAACATCAATCACTTCCCCATATATCAGCAATGTAAAAATTGAATTTGAAATTAAAAACATAACATCATTTACATTAGCACCCCCCACCAAAAAAATACTTAGATATAAATCTAACAAAATATATACAAGGTCTATAAAAGGAAAACCACAAAACTAATCAAAGTATAACCATGTAAATGGAGAGATATACCATATTCATGGACATTGACAATAGACAAGGCTGTGCATGTGGGGGGGGGGAGGATTTTATGGGAACTCTCTGTACTGTCGCTCAATTTTGCTATGAAACTAAAACTGTTCTAAAAAATAAAGTCTATTTTTTTATACAAAAAGACATAGTGGACCACATTGTTGTAAGGCTGAAAACCAAAGAAATTGATAGTCACGTTACCTGGGGTGAGGAAAATGATAAAACTTCTAAGCTAGTACTGGCTGGCTTGCATGTGTTAAAAGGTGATATAGAATGAAAAATGTTAAATTTGCAGGTGATACCGGTTCTGAAGGTCAGGAAGCTAGGGAAGAATTTTTAGAATGCCTACTAAGTATTATACTGGAAAAGAGTTGTATGAAACAGCAAGTTTTCAATGCTGATGAAACTGGTTTGTTTTATAAAGACATTGGCAAGTGAACCTCCATAACGTAAATGACCTTCAAAGTCCCTGTTTCTAAATCATTCAAAGACTGTGAAATTAATCATTTGGTTATGTATTAATCATTTGATGAAAATGTGACCAGAGATTTGCGGGAACCTAACCTTATAATTCTCCAAGGAGCAATGGTTCTATATTCACTAATTCAATGTTCACAGACACTTTCTAGAACAAAACTACCACAGATAATTATAATTGACTATATTTATAATTGTCCCAAACTGAAGTAACCAAGATGTTCTTCAGTAGGTGGATGGATAAGCAAATTGTGGTACATCTATACAATGGAATGTTATTCAGCAATAAAAAGAAATGAGCTATCAAGCATAAAAAGAGACATGGATGAATCTTAAATGCATACTGGCAAGTGAAAGAAACCAGTACGAAAAGGCTACAACTTGTATTATTCTAATTATATAGTCTTTTATAAAGGGAAAAACTGTACAGGTAGTAAAAATATCAGTGGTTGCTAGCAGCTCAAGTAGAAGGAGAAGAGGTTTGAATAGCTGAAGCACAGGAGATTTTTTAGGGCAGTGAAACTATTCTATAGATACTATAATTGTGGAGCATGACAGTATGCATTTGTCAAGGGCCACTGAACTGTACAGCAAAAAAGAGTAAACTTAATGTATGCAAATTAAAAATATATCATTTAGGAGACCGGGGGAAATCCCAGGTTAGAATTTTGAATTCACAGCCTGAAGTGGTTAGGGTGGAAAAGATCTGACAGAACTTTGGAAATTAGTAGAGTCTATAAGACTAAAGGCAAAAGCACCTACACACATGCACTGTACTCTAGTTAATAAATTATGAATTAAATAAGTTAATAAATTAATAAGTTAATAAAATAATAAGGGAAACAGGTTAACAATTCTGATACTGCTATTCAATTGTTCATATTTGAACAATTAAGCAAATAGATCACAGCTGGTGGGAGACAGTTTTCTCATTGCTAAATGGGAGTTTACAGGTAAGCAAAGGATAAGGCTAGAATTATCCATGTGTTAATAGAGTTGGAAACATCAGAATGAACTCATGTTTAGCTTAATATAGCTACATGTGGTTACATATAGAAATTTATAGATACATGTACATACACAAGTAAGTATGCACACATATATTTCCCACTGTCAATTGAGAGGCCCTCAAGTAATGACATGCCAGTAGCAACAATCACATCTAGCACCCAGATCTTGGTTTATAATACCATTCTCCAGTAAAAGAAATCATGGCTCCTTAGAGAAATAGATGATTATAAGGTTAGGGCAGGGAATATACAAGAATATAAAGCATCTTACAGTGCCAGAAAGGAAGAAAGTGCTCTCTCTCTCTCTCTCTCCCTCTCTCTCTCTCTCTCTCTCTCTCCTCTCTCTCTCACACACACCCACACCCACACACACACACACACACACACAAACGTAATGATGAGCGTATGTCAAGGGAGCACAGGAGCCAAATGACAAAGTTCCCAATGACCAAAGTTGAAACAAGTTGAGCAAAAAATAAAAGTAGTATTGGATTATAACCAAAAATGTAAAATATTCATGAGTTCATACTGTTATAAATTATTGAACAAATGAATGGAGAAGAAGAAACAAATCTCTCATGCATGAGAATTCCAAATAATTTATGTAGCTATTCCACTCCAAGAAGGTTAAAAATAACTTCCCACTCCATAATTGTGAGCTGCACATAGCGAATTCCTTCAAAGGGTACAATATGGAAAAGAGTCAATTTGAGGAAAAAGAGTAACTTTACAGCAGATAAATCTGAAAAACACTTCGAGATAGGTGGCCTGAGTAACCTTTAGCAGTGGTAAGTTATACTGATAGTATGTACTCCTGTTATTAAGTGGTTAAAATGGTGCTTTACCTCTGTGGTCTTCCTCCTGGTTTAATCATGGAGAAAACATCAGAAAAGTTCAAAATTATGGACATTTTTCAAAATATCTGACCAGTACTCCTCAAAACTATCAAGGTTGTCAAAAACAAGAAAAGTTTGAGAAACTATCACAGCCAAGAGGATCCTATGGAGACATGACAGGATAGAATCCTGGAACAAAAAAATGATATTAGGTAAAACCTAAAGAAAGCTGAATTTAAAAATATGGACATTAGTCAATAACAATGTATCAATATTGGTTCATTAAATATAATAAACATATACTAATGTAAGATGTTATAATAGGTAAAACTGAATGCAGGTATATGGACACCCTCTGTAATATGTTTTTAGCACTTTATTAATTCATTATTTTGTAAGTAAGGGCTTTCCCTTCTCTCTCTCTCTCTGGACTCATGGATTCTTATTTTATTCAATAGGTTACAATCAATTACTATCATTATTTATCATTATACTCAAATTATATCAGATATTCCCAATGGCATTGCTTCCAAGTAGACTCCTGTTTCCTTGTGCTATGTCCAATCATTATTTGATCCCTTCCTTTTTCAGTACTAATTTTTCCATAAATGTATCACTATTCCAAAAATAAGGTTTATTTAATTCCAAAAATATATTAATTATAAACAACTATTGATAGCTGGTGAATAGGTTAATTTTTCACTGACAGGTATGAGTCAGAAATTCTGAAATGCCTTTCTATGTATTCTAGAATTTTATAAATGTTATGGAGACAAAGAGTAGCCAGGTTTCTCACTGTTAGTAAAGGGAATACCAAATATGGAAAGCCAGAAGATATATACATGTGTGTTTACGCCTATGTTGATAATGTACACACACAAAAACACATTTTTTTCTAGCTCTGT